CCCCCGTACTTTCGAAATCATTGGTTCGAGCCAAACAAAGGACGCGTGGTCAAGGCCAAGGGCTCACGGGCTCTCTTCAAGGCCACTTCCAGGCTGGGGGGTGGGGGGGTCTGGACACTGCCCAGTCTGTGACCCAGTGCCTGGGAGTTTTCTCGGTGAGACTAGGGTATAAACGAAACCAGATTCGTTTCGGGCTCAGAAACACCTGGGCATAGCCATGGCCTCAGAAAAATCCAGAATCGACTTCTTCCCGCCAAGCTGTGGCTCTAACAGGCATCCTGCTGGGACACACGTCCTTGGCATAATGTACCTGACCCCACAGGGAGTATGGTTAAGGGCACAGGACTAGGACCCTGACAGATGTGGTTAAGATCCTGGCTCTGGCTGTGCCCCTTGCTGGCTCCCTGGACAAGTCCTGTAAGCTGTCTGAGCTTCCCTCCTTCGATGAATGTTTACTGAGCCCTCCTATCCGCACTGTTCTAGCTGCTGGAAACCCAAAATAAACTCCCATTTCCTCATTTGTGAGGGAGGATGATAATGACATCCGTCCCTTGGGGTGGAGTGAGGATTAAATGAGATAATACTTGTAATTCGTTGAGCACAGTGACAAACACATTAACAAGCGCTCAGAAAATGATAGTGGCCGTGGTGGAAATGTGTTCGCCTGATCAGGCTGCCCTAACCAAGTGCTGCAAAAATGGATTTCCTTCCAGTTCCAGAAGCTGCACATTTTAGATCAAGGTGTCGACGGGGCTGAGTCCCTCCGAGGCCTCAGTCCGTGGCGTGCAGGTGCCACCTTCTCCCTGTGTCCACACGTGGTCTTTCCTGTGTCCAGATTTCCTCTTCCTAGCAGGACGCCGGCCTTGCTGGACTACAAACCACCTTAATGGTCTCATTTGAACTTTCTTGCCTCTTTAAAGATGCTCTGTCCATCCTCAGGTCTTGGGGGTTAGGACATCCACGTGTGAATTTGGGGGGGAGGGGAGACACGGTTCAGCCCGTGGCAACTAATAACAGCAGCTGTTGTAGTTGCTATCATTGTAACTGTGCTAAAAATCAGGACTTTTCGGGGCTCCTGGGTGGCTCGGTAGGTTAAGGATCCGACTTCGGCTCAGGTCATGATCTCGCGGTTCGTGGGTTCGAGCCCCGCGTCGGGCTCCCCGCTGACAGCTCAGAGCCTGGAGCCTGCCTCAGATTCTCTGTCTCCCTCTCTCTCTGCTCCTCCCCCATTCACACTCTGCCTCTCTCTCTCTCTCAAAAATAATGAAACATTTAAAATTCTTC